CCACGCGCCACAACGTGAACCCCGACTTCAACGAGGAGTTCAAAGTCTCGCTTCCGACTCAACACTCGGAGAAACTCCATCTTCTCTTCACATTCTTCCACATCTCGTGCAAGAAGGAGTGTCTGCGAACACCCGTCGGTCACGCGTGGCTCCCGATCGCGCGTCTGTCGCACTCGTCGCCCGTCGCGCTGTCCGTCTTCGGCTCCCTTCCCGCCGGTTACCTCTCGTGCCAATCCCTGGGTCTCGGAAAAGGCCTTTCGATGCCAGACACGCGATTCGTCGCGAAAGACGTGTTCGTCGTCTCGACGCGTCTCGTGTCGTCCGTTATGTCGCGCGACGCCTCTCTCGACGCCGCCGTCCAGTGTTTCGCGCGCATCAATCGCGATGACGGCCGAGAAGTATCTCGAGCCGTGACGCTCGAGAACTGCGTCCGAAAACATCTCAAACAACTGCTCGTCTCTGACGTCACCGAATTGGTCCGATTCTCGCCAATCGTGTTGCAGCACACCCTCGAACTTGTGGTACGCGTGCGCGACCCCGACGTCATCGGCGACGCGCTGCTCACTGTCCTCCGGTTGGTTCACGCCCTCCAACACCGCTCTGACGTCATCGTCGCCTTCGCAGAGACCACTTTCACGACGCGTCACGTGACCGACTCCTCCTTCCACGAACAGCTCGCCCTCGGATTGGACCGCCTCTTGGCTTCCGTCGACCAATCGGCGGACGAGGAGTCGCGACTCGTATTGCGTCACATCTGGTCTGTTGTCTATCTGTGCTCTCATTGGCTGTCATTCGCTCTCTTCTCAGGTTTTTGCTGCGAATTCACGTCAAGGCGTGTCTCCAACACATCCACGCCCACGACGACAGCCCCGCCCCCTTCTCGCGCTCTCACTCCCAACTCGTGCGGCAACTCATGGCTCGCGTGACGTCACTCGTGACGCAGTGGTCGCGCGCGGAGGAGGCGTCGCTGGCGAACCGCGCGCTCGCGCACTACGCCTCCCGCCTCCTGTCGTTCTGCGCGGACCAGAGGGCGGTCTTCGCGGGCGTCGACGCGCACCTCCGCGCTCTCTCTTCGCGCGACGTCGTGCTCTCGGAAATGCGTCTCCACTTCCTGGCCGTCGTTCTCGCGCACGAACACCTCCTGCCGCCCGCCACGCCCCCCTCCGCCCTGACTCCGCCCCCCGTTCCGCTGGCGCTGCTCTTCCGCGAACTGCGACACTCCCTCCAGCAGAGCGTTCGTCACGTGAGACAACTCGCGATTCAAAGTCAGTCTTTCGTAACCAATGGTAACGAATAGTAACTAAACGTTAACTCGCTTCCAGTGTTACGCAATCTTCTCGCCAAACACGCGCTCGACAATCGACTCGCCGACGACGACGGCCACGCCCTCTCGCAAGCCGTCGCTCTCTATTTGCCGGCTCTTGACGTCATCGTCGATCACGTGACCGCCGACCCCTCGGCAGAGGACCCGCGCCGTCACGCGCAGACTCCCGACAGCTTTGGTCAGCACTCGCGTCACAACTCTCTTCCCGCGCGCTTCGACGCTCTCAACGCCGACGAAGTGAAGGACATCCTCTCGTGCGTCCTTTTCCTCGCCTCCCACCTCACGCCGGATCACGTGCAACGAATGCCTCCGCAACGCCTCGAGCGCCTCCTCGTCGTCATGGAAACGGCCGTAAGTCTCCGATAAGTCTTTTATATACTCCCAACCAATCCAACAACTCATTGGCCAATCAGGTGCACACATTCGCCTTCCGCGATGACGTCACGGACGACGCGCAGACGCGCTCCAAGACGTTGCCGTCGGCGCTGTTGGCGAAAGACGTGGATCTCTTCCTCTGCCGCCAAAACCTTTCCGTCCAAACGGCTCTCACGGCTCTGCGAACCGCAAGACTGTGTCTCGAGTCGGACGACGACGACGTCTTGCGTCGCGTTGTCGTCCTTCACGTCGCACTTCTCGCCGAACCGCAGTCGCAGACCATTCTCGCGCACCTCTTCGACAACATCGCGCTCTTCGCGCATCACTTCGGACGCCATCTCTTCGCCGCAAACGCTCTCTTCTCGCAGATCATCGCAAAAGTGGTCGAGTTCTGCGACTGCGCTCTCAAACCCATTCGCGACGCCGGAGTCGACCTTTTGGTACGTCTTTAACGCACTTCCGGTTTAGCGGACTCTCACTTCCGGTTCTTTCCGCAGTTCCGGCTCTTCGTCGAGAACTTTAAGCGCACGCGATTTGAGACCATTGTTTGCGTGTCGCGATTGGCGTCCAATCACAGCAAAGACCTCTCGCGCTTCCAGTCGTCGTTGGCGCGCATCCAGGCGCTCGCCGAAAGCGACGACTCGTTCGTCAACGACCAGAGACTGACGCAAACGGTTCAACGGATCCGCGATATCCTCAAAGCCACGCATCGCATTCGGGTTCGCCTAAAACAGTCCTATTTGTCTCTCACTGACGGCTCTCTCCCGCGCAGACCGAATGCCGCAATCCGTACGAGAACTGCGAACTTCGCCTCTTCCTCGCCAACTCCTACGCGCAGACCTCGTGGTCTCTGCGGCGCACTTGGCTCGAGAACTTGGCCGAAGTGCACGCTCTGAACGCTGATTGGCCGGAATACGCCATGTGTTTGGCGCACGTGATCGCCATCGTCATCGAGCAGTTGGCGGCAAAGGGTTGCGAACTTCCCGACGCTCGCAATCACGTGACGCGCGTCTCGCCAAACATCGCGGCTGACGACACGCGAATCGAGAGCGACGATTGGCTCGAGACGGAGGACAGCAGTCACGTGACGCCCGACGCGCTCCAGACGCTCATCGACGACTGCGCGCAGAGGTCTGTCGCCGTGTTGTCGTCTGTCGCCACCTTTAACCCCCTCTAACCCCCTCTCCAGCCTCGAGAAGTGCCAGTTGTTTGAGTTGGCGCCGCACGTGCTCAAAGTTATGGTCGCGCGTCTCGAGCACGAGTTTGACCACAAGAGGCTGTCGGCGCTCTTCGCGCGCATCTCGCGAATGCACGCGCGTGCGCTCGAGGCCGACCTCTCGGGAAGACGGCTTTTCGACACTTACTTCCGGTGAGTCTGACGTCACGTCCGCTCTCTCTCACTCACTCTCTCTCTCTCCCATAGAGTCGCGCATTTCGGCGCTCAAAACCAGGAATACGTCTACCGAGAGGTGAGAATTAAAGGGAAAATGCGATCAAAACTAATTGAATGCGAATTTAGGCGAAAGTGATGTCTTTGGCGGAAATGACGTCAAAGCTCCAGAAACTCCACCCCTCGGCAACTATCGTCTCGGACTGCGACTCCGATTGCGTGACCGACTCGGCCATTGTCGTCACGCACGTCATTCCCTTCGCCGCCGACGCGCGCAACGATTTCGAGCGCAACGTTGGCGTCAATCGCTTCGTCTTCGAGCAACGCATTCGTCACGAGACCGCCGGGAACTCGGTTGCCTCGCAACACAAGCGACGCGTCGTTCTGCGCACAAGCAATTGGTTCCCGTTTTGCGTGAAACGCGTTCCCGTCGTCCAGCGCGAGGAAACCATTCTCTCGCCCATCGAAGTGGCCATCGACGAGATGGAGGCGCGCGTGCAAGCGCTCGAACGCGTCACGCAGGCCAACGACGTCAAACACCTCCAACTCGTGTTGCAGGGCTCCGTCCACGTGACCGTCAACTGCGGACCAATCGCGTACGCGAACGCCTTTCTGCGCGGCGCCGACGAACCGGAAACGGAGGCCGAGACGCGTCTGCGCACTGTCTTCGCGCGATTCGTGGAGCTCTGCGAACGCGCGCTTCGACTGAACGAACGGCTTATAAAAGCGGATCAACTCGAGTACCACTCGTCGCTGAAGACGGCCTTCGAGACCTTCAGACAACAGCTCGACCTCAAGAACGACGCGAAACGCACTTCCGTTCAGATATTTGACGTCATTTCCGGCTCTTCTCTCGCCTGAAGTGAACAATCTCCGCAATTGGCGTCTCTCTGGCACTCGGCGCGCGCGCAGGCCGTCCGAGACTTGCCTCGCGATGAAATACATTCACCGGTTCTGCACGTGGACACCGCTGATGACATGTCGGAATGTCGCAAACAATTAGCATTTAATCATTGAAATGTAATTATTTGTAAATTATTTGTCATTATTTTAGATTTCAATAAAAATGTGGGAAATTATTGAAAAGCCATTAATTCTGATTACCATAAGATATTGCATTGTATTTATTGATTTAAGTTGAGAAATATATCCGATGTTAATGTAAAGTAATTAATTAGTAATTTAAACTAAAAATAAAGATTATTTCTCACAATTTGCGTAACAAAAGCAAACTCGGGTTTATGTGAACTAAGCGTCAGTTTTCTCACAAAATTACTCACAAATCCTATGGAACTGAGTCTTCAATAAGAAGACAATAATTTAGTGGAAAATAGTTTACAATATGTGAGTTTTCCGATAATTAGAGCTTTTTTGACCGCAAATCTCGATTGCATTCAAAACGACAATAGTTTTGAAGACTTGGAAAACTCTTTGAATCCAACAACACCTCTACTGACGCGGTCTCGAACGACAGCAAAGGAATTGCAGTGAAATACTGGTCCCAAGAGTTGTCGGAGAAGACGTGAACACAAAGTCTTTTCGGTCAAACGATAGTATTACTATAATTGGAGATTATATGCAATTCGTTGCTTTCGGCTGTCAATAGAATTGTCTCCAACTCTGAGTTCGTGACAACCAATTGGCGGCACATTTCGAAAGCAGTTAGAACTCAAAGATATCCATAAAATCAGATCCAAAGCCACTAAACGGGCGCTTATCTCACAATAACTGCAAGTTTTTATTGTAAAAAAGCGTTTCTTATGTACAGCTGTAATGAGAATGAAAGGCACGCTCAGCGCCGCCACACGAGCGCCGAAGCAAACACACACGTCGTCCAGAAGGCGACGCAAGAGACGACGGAAGACGCGTCTGACGTCACGAATGAGAAGACTTCGGAGAGAGTGGAGCCGAAGGCGTTCTGCGCCTCGAGAACCACTTCATAGTTGCCGTCTTTCGCGAGATTCTCGAGAACGAAGCGGTCGCTGCGCAACGGACTCTCGTTGGCCGGCGCCGACGGCTCCACGCGCACGTGTTGCCAGCGCTCCGAGTCGCCGGCGTCCACCTGCGGGCGGGAGGGGGTTAGGGGCGGCGGCTATGGGCTGTCACGTGACTTACGCGTCGGAAGCGGAGATCATAGGCAGTGATTGGAGACTGAGATTCGAGACGCCATTCGAGGAGATATCTGCGGAGGGGAGGAGTCAGCGACGAGTGAGAGACCAATGAGCACTTACCCCGAGTCGCGGCCACTGAGCGGCGCGCTCGTGAAGGCGGGGCGCGACGGACGGCCGGTCACGTGGACGGTGGAGTGGGCGGCGCCTAACGAGTTGTTGGCTAATGAGAGGCGAGAGTGAGAGAAGGAATGGCAGCACGCGATTGGATGACAGACCGAAACACGTGTAGTTGTCGTACAGCGCGGGAGACGTCACGTTCGCGATGACGAGCACTGAAGAGGCGTTCGAGCGCTCCAATCGGAACACAG